CTCACCTTAGACCAATTAGTCTAGTACCTTCTGTATCACAGGGGCGGAAACCAGCCCGGAGAAGCCCAGTGACTTGGCCCGCATCACCCAGCTACTCAGGGACAGGGCTGAGGCCAAACTCCCGCCTTCCGACTCCCCATGCAGCTCAACACCTTCTCCATCAGTTCACATTGTCTTCTCTATCACATTCCTCTTGATTTGGCAAACTCTGCATATTTATTTATAAATTGGCTTGTTTGGAGCCTGAAATTTGGCATCATTGATTTTGGCTGTGAGGTATTCAGATTTTTCCTCTGTTTGTTTTGGTTTGCTAAACCATGTTTTGTGAGCAAAACCACAAAGTAATAAAACACAATGAGGCCGATAAAGTTGTTCAAATGCAAAGCATCCAGAAATGTGACAGCATCGACTTTCTCAGATTTATTTTGTGTCCTCAGACAGTAGATTAAAACCGAATGAGGAAACTTTCCTTCCAGGGATTTACGGACCCAATATAAGTAAACAGCTGGGGTTTCTTTTTAGGCTGTTTCTCTTGGAGGTGGGGCAGGAGGGTGAGGAAAGCACCTGCCAGGAGCAGACAGCTGGAGGCTGTTCCCAAGGTCATGTCCTTAGAGAAGAAGTCAGAGTCCAGCAGCCACCGGGACCAAGGTATGTGTGGGGATCTTCACGATGCCGCCCCAAATCCTTTGCACTTTATTTTGCACACAGCAGGAGTTGTAAAAGAATGATTCCTTGCATTACTAACACTGAGAATCCATGCAGAGAATTCACACTAAATATGTGAATACATTGTGTTTAAGAAGGCTAGGGTGCCCTCAGTCCCCAGATCTTTCTAATTGTGCTGTTAAGTTCAGATAGGTTTTTGGAGACAGAGAGAGATTGGCCGCATCGTAGCTGTGTCATTGACTGTTCTGGTGTAGGTTCGCATGGCCAGGGAGTCTGAGTGCAGCCCCTGATGAGTGCTTCATGCCAATCTGTGAGTCTGTTCCAGAACTAGAGGAGAGAGTCTTAACCTCGCCTGCAGCCAGATGAATGGTCAGCTTTAGTGGTGAACACTTTGTTTTTTGAATAGTGTGGTTGGCTGGCAGCTCTTGCCATTGTTTCCCTCTCTTAACAAACCAGTCTAAAGCCTGAGCACAGCTACAACCTTGTCCAGTCTCTTTAGCAACAAAATACCTGTGTGTGCATATCTTATTGCTAAAAATATTGCACAAGGCTGTATACAAACACACACACAGATGCGCTGTACAGGAGACCCTGATAAAACACAAATTTTAAAAATTTGTTTGTAAACAAATGCAATGGGATGATCATAGCTCTCTGCAGCCTTAAACTCCTGAGTTCAAGCCATCCTCCTGCCTCAGGATCTCAAGTAGCTGGGACTACAGGTGTGAGCCACTGCACCTGGCCAGGCAGTGAAGGACTTTCTAAGCAAGACCCTTGGAAAGTTGCCACCAACTCCCCAGCTCTGTGAGAAGTCTTGGGGCCAGGGAGTTTAAACTCCCAAAATTAACTGGCTTGCAGGGAGAGTTATTTCCTGGTGATGAGTTGGGGCTGCTTCTGAAGAACATTTAGAATTAAAATCTAGAGCTCACCCCATTCAGAGTAAAAAGTAGCAGCAAATAAATGTTAAATCACAGCATCTACTTGGTCATACCCTTTCATACATGTCACAAGGGTCACTACCAAAGAAAGAAGTGAGTTAAGTACAAGCCAATTCGGTCGGGGGTGAGCAGATAACCAGACTCATCCAAATGCTTGGCTGATGGTTTTCCTGTTGCTCCGTGGTTTGTCCTTAGTGAGGATGTGAGTGACAGAGTTGGAAACATGTGGGGCCTCAACTCTGCTTCATGAACCAGGCAAGGAAGAGCTGGGGGCGGAGGTGGGGGATGCCAGAGGAAGGAGGATCTGAATTTGAGGAAGAAAAAGGACAGCAGCAAAGAGTTGGGTTCTTGTCAAGCTTCTGAAGGACACAGAGAAGCGCAGCCCACCAGCAAAGCATCTGCCACCTGTGTGTGTCTCAGATGGCCGGGGGGCAGTTCCTGTCGTGGCCTGATTCATGGTCAGCACTGTTCGTCTCACTCCCAAGCTCCAGCACACATTTCCCCACTGGGAGCTCAGCCAACCATTTTGGATTCCTGAAGGGAAAGAACGTCAGGAGTAGAGGAAGGGGTGGTGATGCGGAGAGGCCTCTGCTGCTAGCCCCTGCAGGTGGAGAAAGTTCCAGATGCCTTGGCCCTAGTCAAAGCAAGCCCGGCTGACCCGTGGGATGTCAGTGGCATGGGGAGTGGAGATATTTCACGGCAGACAGCCTGTTTGTTTATTACAAAAAGGACTAGAGATGAGTCACCAAGAGAGGCCTACAGATTTCTCAAGCCAAAACACTTAGACCAAGTTTCCCAAAAAAATAGAGCCAAGCATTTCATAGAGTTAATGCTTGTCTGCAGGACTCCTGGCAAGATAAGCGTTTCTTTCTGTTTTATTGGTTTGTTTGTTTGTTTTTTTGTATGGTCTCACTCTGTCACCCAGGCTGGAGAGCAGTGGCATGATTATGACTCACTGCAGCCTCAACTTCCTGGGCTCAAGTGATCCTCCTGCCTCAGCCTCCCTAGTAGCTGGAACTACAGGTGCACGCCACCATACCTGGCCATTTTTGTTGTTGCCCAAGCTGGTTTCAAACCCCTGGGTTCAAGCAACCCTCCCACCTTGGCCTCCCAAAGTGCTGGGAGTACAGGCATGAACCATTATGCTTGGCCAAATAAGCGTTTCTTGGACAGACCCAGGAGTTCTATTCCAAAGTTTAGAGCAGGTTAACTGGGTGGCTATGGAGTGTGACCAGATGGAGGCATGAGTCTGTGGCCAATGCTGTGACTGGCTGGCAGTCCGGCAAGGCAAGGCAGTAGGTACTTCACACACTGTGCATACCCATCCCAGGCAGTTGTAGACCCCTAGGACTCCCCGTCGCACCGCACACGCAGGCTTCAGGGAAAGCAGCTGGTTGGCAGATGCCACCCCAACCTGATATCTTTGGATATCCTTGCCCTGGGCGACATGGTGAGACCTTGACTCAAAAAAAAAAGTTCCTCCCATGCCAGCTGCTTGTGTCCCACCCACTCAGGTGCTTTGCTTCTCAACAGAATCCACCTGCAGTTTCCTGCCAGGTATGTCTCGAGGAGCCCTCTAGCCACCCGACGTGTCTTTAATGCCTATAAAGTCCAGTTCAGAGGACGAAACACATTATCAGGTATGTACAGGCACTGACAGCAACAGGCCAGTGAATAAACCCGGCACCAAACAAGCCATCAGCATAGGAAGCCCCACATGGTAAATGCGGCCGCACACGCATAGCAAGCTTGCCCAGGGGAAGCTGGGCCACAGGTTGGGGTAAGGCCCGTGATGCAGGCTGTATATGTTTTGATGCAGAAGTTATTAGTTCTGAGCAGAAAGGGCAAGGTAAGAGAGCAAAGCCTAAAAATGCAGTTTCCCCCTTGAGTTCTTCTCTCCTCGTATTGGACTTCCCTCCCATGATAACGTGCCCCAAGGGCCGAGAGCCGCCCTACTGTGTTTAACAGATGGAGACAATGCAGTCTTTCGGCTTTCAGAGCTACAGAAGCTGAGGCTAAAATGCCAACTCTATAGCCATGAGGACCAGGTTTTTTGTTTTTTTGGTTTTTTTTTTTTGAGACAGAGTCTCGCTCTGTCTCCCAGGCTGGAGTGCAGTGGCACAATCTGAGCTGACTGCAACCTCCGCCTCCTGGGTTCAAGCGATTCTCATGTCTCAGCCTCCTGAGTAGCTGGACTCACAGGCGTGCACCACTACACCCAGTGAATTTTTTTTTTTTTTTTTTGAGAGGGAGTCTTCCTCCCCTTGTACAGGCTGGAGTGCAGTGGCGTGATATCAGCTGACTGCAACCTCCACCTCCCAGGTTCAAGCGATTCTCCTTCCTCAGCCTGCCGACTAGCTGGGATTACAGGCATGCGCCACCACACCCAGCTAATTTTTGTATTTTTTAGTAGAGATGGCGTTTCACCATGTTGGCCAGGCTGGTCTCAAACTCCTGACCTCAGGTGATCCACCCGCCTTGGCCTCCCGAAGTGCTAGGATTATAGGTGTGAGCCACCGCACCTGGCAGAGGACCAGCTTGTGAGTCTCGGGACCCTGGAATGCAGCAGCCCCAGTCTTGACTTTAGTTAACCTGTGTCATGTGCAGGGGCTTTAGGTGGCCAGGAGCAGGGCATCTGGTTGAATGGGTGAGGGAGGCTCTGAGATTGCTACAGAACAGACCATTGAGAGCCTGTAACTGAGTCCAAACTCACCCTGCCTGCTGCGTGACAGCCAATATGTTGAGAGACAAGGAGTTGGAGCAAAGAAAGGGACTTTATTTTGGAGAGCCAGCAAACCAAGAAGATGGTGGACTAATGTCCTAAAGAACCGTCTTAAAATGATGCGGGTTTTGCCTTATGTTTAGTTCAGGGGGAAAGGAAGGTGCTGAGAATTGCAGACATCTGGGCACCAGCAGGGGGCCGGGGGAGGTTTGCGAAACTTCTTCATCCTTGGCTAACAGTCTCTCATGTGATAATAGCCGAACCTCCTCGTTCCTATAAATCTTTAACAAAAATAGTTAGCTGTTTACATGCTTCCCCTTTAATCCCAAAGTTAGTTTTGCAAATGGCATGATTGCTGTTTTTGCATTTTATCTCAGTGCTCTAACATTACCCTAGCCTAGGTGCAAGAATAGGTAAAGGCCCCTTAAACAAAAATGGAGTTAGTTATGTTAGTTCTTCTGCTGTTTCATGGTTACAAGACCCAGAAGAGAACCCTTGCGTCAAAACAGGATGAGATTAGTTATTGTTCCTTTAAAACATCCATGTGGTTGCTTTTTGGCCCCCTCTGCGATATCCGGGCTGTGCTGACAAAGCCAGTAGCAGCTCTGGAGCCGTAAGCCACCAACCATCTCATCTCAGCCCAGGGCATGCTGGGAGAGGCCAGGAAAAGTCACTTCTCTGCTTTCACTGTCTTTTCTGTGGCCTCAAAGTCTTCAAAGGGGAGACCTGGTGTTCTCAGCACTGCTCAGCCTCCATGAAGCCCTCCTTCTCATGGCCCGAGGGCTCTACCTCTGCATAGGTGGAATGATCCGCATGGCTGCGAAACTTCATGGCTGGCCAGTGGTGAGGTCTCCGCTGGAGAAGGCACAGAGGCAAAGTCAGTGGGCATGACCCTCCCCATGGGGCCCCCACACTCCTGAGCAGCAAAGCCAAGACTCTCTCTTACAAGGGCCCTTGGGGCCTACTAGGAGCCAGACAACTGGCCTTCAGGGACCCTCTCCCTAAAACGTGCCCTGCTGTGATCCCCCAGCCACTGGGAAACCTGCCGTAAGCTACAGTGTGGAAGGGCACTTCATCCTTCGCTGCGTGGTCTGCAGAACTCACAGCTAAAAGCTTCAGCAATACACCAAGTGGAGACCGGGGACTGCAAAGTGAGGAATTGGCTCAGAGGCGGCTGGAATGACGCGGAGCCTCTGGAAATGCCAAGATAACCCTCCAGGTAGCACAGGGCCCATAGCAGAGTCAACAGGGAGCTTCTTAAAATGCAGATTCTGGCCAGAGTGATGGCTCATGCCTGTAATCCCAGCACTTTGGGAGGCCAAGGTGGGTGGATCACTTGAGGTCAGGAGTTCCAGACCAGCCTGGCCAACATAGTGAAACCCCGTCTCTACTAAAAATACAAAAATTAGCCAGGTGTGGGGCACACACCTGTAGTCCCAACTACTCAGAAGGTTAAGGCACCAGAACTGCTTGAACCCAGGAGGCAGAGGCTGCAGTGAGCCAAGATTGTGCCGCTGCACTCTAGCCTAGGTGACAGAGTAAGTCTCTGTCTCAAAATAAATAAAATGCAGATTTCTGGGCCTGCCTTAGACCTGCCCTATCAGAATCCCTGTGGCCTGGGGATCCACAGTTCCCAGGTATTACCCAGGTAGGCTAAGACTTCAGAATGGCCAAGCCTCCTAAGAAACAGGCAGAGTGACCTAGGCCTGTGGGTAATGAGACTGCTGGGCTCGTGACCCATGTGGAGGAGACTAGGGTCATAGAGGCACGACTGCTGCACCCTGTGGGGAATGTCAAAGAAGCCAGGAGTGGAGGACTGGGGACAGGAGCTGCTGAGCTCTGCAGCCCCAAGTGAAGGAGGCTGAGCCTCACGTCCCATGCTGCCCCTCAGACTGACTTTTCAGAATTGAAACATTCAAATCTTAGCATCCTCAATTAAAGCTCCCAGAGGGCCATTCTTATCATTATTTGGTTTGTCTATTTTATTTTTATTTTAGAGATGAGGTCTCCTCTATCACCCAGGTTGGAGTGCAGTGGTGTGATCAGAGCTCACCGCAGCCTCAAACCACTGGGCTCAAGGGATCCTTCCACCTCAGCTTTCCAGGTGGCTGGGACCACAGGTGCATGCCACCATGCCGGGCTAATTTTTAAAATTTCCTTAGAGACAGCGTCTCTAAGAGACCCTGGTTCCATCACGGCTTTGAGTAAGTACTGAGCCTGGCATTTGGGCATGAGAGACCATAAATCACTAGAGAGTGGCTGCACAGCCACTAGATGGGCACCGTGTGGCACTGTGGTCTTTCTTTCCTCTAGGGATTCTTTTCTGATTTCACAAATGGGGGAACAAGAGCAGAGGGGCTGTTCCACAGGACAAGAGGGCCGAGGGAGTTCTGAGGTGCTGATTTCTTGGGGTGCAGGATTTAATGGGCACCAGCAATCTTGAAATGTGCCAGGATGGGGTGGATGAAGGTTTATGGGGTATGTGGTGGGAGACACTAACGCAGAAGCAGACAGCAGCCCTGCGGCCACACGGACCTCGATGAAGAAGAGCGCAGCATTGGACGTGGGGTGGCCACTGATGTAAATCCCAGCCAGGATGATGGCGGCCACGAGGAGGACTGCCAGCACGATGCCCACGATGGTGCCCAGGTGCACAGGGGTGCCCTTCGTCTTGGGGGACAGGTTGTTCTCAAGGCCTGTGGAGAGATCATTAGGGCAGGCAGGGGCTGCAGGGGAGCAGGGAAGGTCGAACCATGGGGTCTTGGGTTCTAACAAAGTCTCAGAAATGAAAGCCTACAGAGCCTTTGGGTCCACTCATTAAATACAGGAAAAGGTTGAGCAGGAGCTGGAATCATTATGAGTAAGGCATTCACTTTGTTCTTGGCACCATCTGGGTAGTTTTCCAAAATCACCTAAAAGTTGCCCAAATGTCTAGTAAGTATCATAAGAGAAGTTCTCTCTGATATCTGTGCCACCACAGAAGTGCTATTAAGGAATTCACAGAGGGCATGTGAGGGTTAAGTTTGGGATCTGAAATCTGGCTGCCTGGATTGAAATCTATGCTGTGCCACATACTAGCTGTGTGACCTTGTGCAAATTATATAACCTCTCTGTGTCTTCATTATGACTTCTGTCGAACGAGGATAATAATACCCACCTAATGGGGTTATTGAGAGGGTTAAAATGAGATGATTCATGTCAAGCACTGAGGACCATGTCTCCCATTTTGGATAACTTCAATAAGTGTTAGCTATAAAGTGAGCAAGTGACCGTGGCTTTCCCTATCCCTTGTCCACTTCCAGACTGTGACCTCTTGGAGGGCAAGGCGGATGACTTATTCAACTCTGTGTCCTCAGCTCTTGGAGAAACTGGCAGGCCCATCAGAGAAGCTCAGAGAAAGTGTGCATAATGATCTAGGTCCTCTGGAAGCTAATAAGCCAACAGGCACTCTCTGAGAACATCCTAGCCATTTGAAATAGGTCCCAGCAGGGAGAGACTATTTTCCAGAGAGCTGGAAGCTCAACCCCTTTCGTGCATGACTGAGGTAATGGAAATAACAGAGAGGTTAAGCAATCTCCCCACAGACACACAAATTCAGTGCCCGCCACTAAGAAACCAAGTTCCCTGACACTACCGGGGGTGGCTGTTTGCCTCTTCACCCTATCCTAAAGGAATGCGGAGATAATGAGGTAGAGAAGACAGATGAGCAGGTTGGCAACAGAAATGTTGCATTCCTCCTACGAAGCTAGTGGGTGGGATGGGAGGTAACTAGCGGTGGCGGGTTTTAATGGGATGTTGCGTGCATTCAAAATCATTGTCCTCCTCATCCCTTTTGCTCTGCTCTGCACTCTGTAAGCAGAGGACACCTAGGAGAGACACTATCCTGGGGTACTCCAGGGCATGGCTAGGGCCTCTGTCTGCCAACAGGTGGGAGGGCGGAGGTGAAATGCTCCAAGCGAGCCTCCCCTGACCTGGTTGGCAGTCAGCCCACAGCCTGCAGTGGCTCTGATGATTTGATGAGGGCTTCTGCCAATGAGCACATGGTGCACAGCAAGGGGATTATGGCCCAGCCACCCCCGCAGGACACATACACGCTCACAGCCACTGCCTATGGAGAAGCAATGGCTCCCTCTCTGCTGGGGGACACCATAGCACTGCTGCATTAATAATCTTCCCTTTCCTGCCGGAAGCCCAGATGACAGTCTCCAGCCCCTGCAGCTGGAAGGCACTTTCATCTCTACTCTTGCACGGGTTGCAGCAAAGGCCTGAGCTGGCTCTGGGCAAAGGGCAGGGGAGGTGGGGGCAGCTCCCACCCTCAGAAAGAAGATTATCCTTCTAGGTAATCCTAGGAGGCTGGGGGTGGTCCTGCCTTCTGGCACCCTGCAAAAATTGTAGTGGACAATTTTATGTCCTCTCTGCCAGCCTGGGTTAGGAAAGAGAAGCTGCTCTCCACCCCTCGCTGACTATGAGCCCATGGGGATCAGAGGGGATGGCCACGGGCCCCACCTATGCCTGCCCTGGCTCAGACCCTCCCCTCCTCCCACTCCTTTCTGGGCAGTGAATATTCAAGGACAGAGCTGGAGAAGAATCACAGGACGTTCGTTGCTGAGATGAGAAACGTCCAGGGGTAGACATGTTCCTTCGATCTAGGGCACCTGTGTCCAGAAGCCCGCCTGCCTCCCCACCCCGAAGGAGGTCTGAGATGCTCAGGCTGCAGTTGCTCCCTCTCTGCACTCATAAAAATAGGCCAGGCGACTGCTGCACCCTCTTCTGGGGAGCGTCCAAGAGGCACTGGGTCTGACACTGAGGGCAGGCAGTTCTGTACTCACCGTCTCCTCCTGCATTGGGATTCAACTTGGTGTCATCTTCAAAGAGAGAGGACAGAAGGAGCAAGATTAGTGGAGTCATTACGGCCTTAGTCACTCCGAGTCCAGATGGGACTTTAGGGAGGTTCCGTCCAAACTTTCATTTTAAAAGTAAGGAAACTGAGGCACAGAGAGAGGAGGAGACTTGCTCAAAGTCACACAGCAGTTGGGTGTAGCTGGAGGGTGGGGAGTCTATGGGGGGGCTGGTGAGAGATGAGGCTGTGAGTGGAGGGCCAGCTGCCAGGAGAGCAATGGGAGACCTTGCCTGTTCTGCGGGCAGCAGGGAGCTGTGGAAGGATTCAAAGAGGGGCTGTGCGTGTCACAAGGTCAGATCAGCTTGCAGACTCCCTGGGGCTGCAGTGTGCAGGAGAGAATCCCAATTCACTTTCTGTCTATACCTCAAGGCCTTCAGCCCATGGCTTTCTTTTTTCTTTTCTTTTCTTTTTTTTTTTTTTTTTTTTTTATGGGACGGGGCTTCCCTTTTTTTACCCAGGCGGGAGTGCAATGGCGTGGTCTCGGCTCACCGCAACCTCCGCCTCCTGGGTTCAGGCAATTCTCCTGCCTCAGCCTCCTGAGTAGCTGGGATTACAGGCACGCGCCACCATGCCCAGCTAATTTTTTATATTTTTTTAGTAGAGACGGGGTTTCACCATGTTGACCAGGATGGTCTCGATCTCTTGACCTCGTGATCCATCTGCCTCAGCCTCCCAAAGTGCTGGGAAGTAAGTTTCAAGGATCCACCCTTCCTGAGGTTCCTTCCCATGAAGAATTTTTATGGGGAAAGAAACGCCAGAATTCCACATCAGGAAGATGATATAAATGACTGAAGATTCTTGCCCTACGTCCCTGAACTTTATTTATTTATTTGAGAGAGGGTCTTGCTCTGTCACACAGGCCGGTGGTCTGTGGTGGTACAATGATGGCTCACTGCAGCCCCAACCCCCTGAGCTCAAGTGACCCTCCCACATCAGCTTCCCAAGTAGCTGCTCCTGGCTAATTAAAAAAAATTTTTTTGTAGAGATGGGGTCTCACTGTGTTGCCCGGGTTGATCTTCAATTCCTGGGCTCAAGCAGTCCTCTTACCTCAGCCTCTCAAAGCACTGGGATTACAGGCAAGAGCCACCTCACCTGGCCAAACAAGGTATTTAAACACAGCTTTGAATCTATTTTGTTACTGCAAGTTGAAGATAATGAATTGATTCATCAACGCTAACCAAAGTTAACTTAAATATCACTGGGCAAATCAACTTGTTGCAAATCTAGACCTTTGAAAATCACCTGTAGCCCAGTCTGCACCGGCCACTGGTGGACAAAAGGACACAGTGCCACCAACGCCTAGTCCCTCCCAGAGCGCCGAGGATGGCCACACTGTGCCCACACAGCCTCTCTCCCATTCATCAAGGGCTGGCTCCCAGCGGCCATCCTGCTGGGGCTCGATGGAATACACATTGGCTCCTGAGTTAATGGATCACGTGAGAGCTCACGTAGGAAGAAATGCATGCAATGCTGATCAAATGAGGGGTCATTTTCTGTTAGTTGTCACTTCTGCGGCTGTCAAGGTGTTCTGTTCTGTGGCTTATAAGTGAAGCCTTCTGCACACAGTTGTTCTGGGTGAGTGCCTGTCTCTCTTTGCAGTAAAATGCATGGGCTCTGTGACAGCTACTTGCCACTCAGAGGTCTTCTGGTTCATTTAAGTGAGTAGCATTTGATTGCAAGTGAACAGCTCTTAAATCCAGCCCCCATGCGTCCCGCTCCTCCCACCCTGCTGCTGTGTGCCTGTGTCCTGCCTGGGCAGGCCCCTCTGGCTGGAGTGCTGGGTCCCTTCATTCACATCTCCCTGAAAGAGCCTGTACCCTCAGACAGAATGTACAGGAAAGACTCTATCCCACGCCCGCCTCTGCAAGTCTCCCTGTGTGGGCTGTAACCACACAGCCAGGAAAGTGACTCAAATTGTCCTGCCAAGATGCCTTGCAAGTTGGGCATGTGGGGGGAAGTCATCATGAAAAAGCTTTTTTCTTATAAACCAGGCACAATGGCACGTACCTGCAGCTACTTAGTAGGTTGAGGTGGGAGGATCCTTGAGCCCAGGAGTTCAAGTCTAGCCTGGGCAACATAGTGAGATCCCATTACACCCCCCAAAAAGTTTTTTCTCTCATAGATGTAACTTCATAATCTTTGCCACCTCTTCCAGGACTGGAAGGACATAGAGCCCAAATTGTTTACTCTAATGAATGTTTTCTGTTGGGAACCATCACACAAAACATAGAAGTGAGATGCATTCCTGAGGTGGCAGGGATGCACTCAGATAATAAAACTGGCAAACAGAACTCGCTGCCTCTGTAGGACAGAGAACCTGCGTGGTGGGCTGTAGGACAGCCCAGGGGCTCGGTAATAGCAAGTCAGGATTTAGGCTTGGCCCCCAAGTGCCACATCCTGGGCTCTCCACGCCACCACAGGCCCACTTCTAGCCTCTGACACTGTGGCTCCACCAGATACTGCCTGGCTAAACCCTCTGAGTGGGCCAGGGGGTGTCTGTAGCCCCCCGGCCCAGTGCTGGGCTCAGAACATGCCCTCAGTCAGCCCAGGGGGTTCCCCAGGAGTAAGTAATCAGGGACTACCTCCCTGTAAGAGGAGCTTTCTTTGACTGGAAGGTTTCCTTGGACTCAGTCATTAACTCCCAAAGGGCAAAGTTTCTTTCTGCTTCTTTTTCTCTTTTTTTTTTTTTTTTGAGACAGGGTTTCACTTTGTCACCCAGGCTGGAGTACAGTGGTGCAATGACAGCTCACTGCAGCCTCAACCTCCCAGCCTCAAGCGATCATCCCACCTCAGCCTCCTGAGTAGCTGGGATTACACATGTGCACCACCATGCCTCAGTAATTTTTGTATTTTTTTAGAGACACAGCTTTGCTATGTTGCCCAGGCTGGTCTTGAACTCCTGGGCTCAAGTGATCTGCCTGCCTCAGCCTCCCAAAGTGCTGGGATTACAGGCATGAGCCTCGTCTTCCAGCCTCTGCTTTTTTACTGAATCCTCTATAGCACCACCACGTGCTCTGCTCTCAGTGCCAGCTCCTTGTTATTCCAAAGCAACTTCAGAGTAATGGGAGCTTTCGGAATCTGCCTCACTTTTTCACGTTTTGCTACTCTGCCCTGACCTGAATTCACAGAGAGCCTTTTCCATTTCTTTCAGCACCAAGAGAGGCAACGGGGTTGAGGGGAAAGATCTCTGCTCTCGGGGCTGGATGAAACCTGACTCTGTCCCTTCCTGGCTGTGTGACCTTGGGCAGGTCATCTGCCTCTCTGAGCCTTAGTGTCTCCTCTACAAAATAAGGATATAACAGTATCAAGATCCAGGATTGTTGGGAGGATGAATATTAATTCATGCGCTACTTTAGCACCCTACTAGGCACTTGGTTGGTCCCCACAAATGCTAGTGCTTTCTATCATTCATTCATCCTCCTCCACACCTTCCCCCCAGGTCCATGGGTCACTGCCTTAGTTCTCCAGTTCTCTAGGTGACGTTTAGAAAGGCAGGGGACAGGCTGAATGTGGTGGCTTATGCCTGTAATCCCAGCATGTTGGGAGGCCAGCCTGGCCAACATGGCAAAACCTTTTCTTTACTAAAAATACAAAAATTAGCAAGGTGTGGTGGCATGCGCCTGTAGTACCAGCTACTAGGGAAGCTGAGTGGGAGAATCATTTGAACCTGGGAGGCAGAGGTTGCAGTGAGCTAAGATCACACCACTGCACTCCAGCCTGGGTGACAGAGCGAGACTTTTTCTCAAAAAAAAAAAAAGAAAGGCAAGGGACACTGGAAAGAACGTCCCACCACGTACCCCCCACACAACCCTGAATAACCTACTTTTCCCTTTTATGAGCCTCTTTCCTCATCTATAAGAAGGACTGTAGGCTAGGTATAGGGGCTTATGCCTGTAATCCCAGCACTTTTGAAGGCTGAGGCAGAAGGATTGCTTGAGCCCAGGAGTTTGAGATCAGCCTAGGCAATAGTGAGACCCCATCTCTAGAAAAAGTTTTTAAAAATTAGCCAGGTATGGTGGTGCATGCCTGCAGTCCCAGCTGCTTGGGAGGCTGAGGTGAGAGGACTGCTTAAGCCCCGGAGTTGGAGGCTGCGGTGAGCCACAGTCATGCTGCCGCACTCTAGCCTGGGCAACAGAGCGAGACCCTGTCTCAACAAAATAAGCAAAGTTAAAAAAAAATCCTAACATAGTTAGAGGGGGAAAAAGTCATGGCTGAATGTTTTAAAATATTAACTTTTTTCTTCTTTCCTTCTTACCATTATTCCTTTCACACAGATATTTGGCTCAGGGAAAGCCATCAAGAACCAAGTCTTTCTGTCTCAGCCTAAAGGGAAGGGGCTTTCAAAGCTTAGATGCGGGGTTTTTGGTTTGGGGTTTTTTTGTTGGTTTTGTTTTGTTTTTGAGAAAGGGTCTTGCTCTGTCACCCAAGCTGGAGTGCAGTGGCATGATCTCAGCTCACTGCAAACTCTACCTCCTAGGTTCAAGCAATTCTCCTGTCTCAGCCTCCTGAATAGCTGGGATTACAGGCGCCCGCCGCCACAGCTGGCTAATTTTTGTATTTTTAGTAGAGACAGGGTTTCGCCATGTTGGCCAGGCTGGTCTCAAATTCCTGACCTCAAATGATCCGCCCACCTCAGCCTCCCAAAGTGCTGGGATTACAGGCGTGAGCCACTGCACCTGGCCGAGATGTAGGGTGTTGAGAAAGGATAAGGGAGAGGAATGTCTCAGAAATAGCTATGGAATCCTGGAGGGGGCATGGGAGAAAGGGAAGATTTGAGGCCTAGGACTGGAGGAGCCTGCACAAGGCTTCCTGGGACACTGCCTGGTGCATTCAGGTGGATGGACCTCTGGCAGCTTTAACCAAGACCCCCAGGCCTCCAGGTAGCAGGGAAGCCCCCGGACTGCCAGACCTGATTAGGCAGGGTGGGTGGACAGCTGAGCTGAAATTCCCCATCCATCACTCCAGGGCCTGAAGGTGAGAAGCCAGGTGAACTTACAGAAAAACAAGGCAGCCTTTCTCTCACATCTGAGTAAATGGACTGAGTTCACACCTGCTACAGGGATGAGCCTTTTCAGGTTCTGTGAGGATTGCTATTAAGATTAGCTGAGATAAATTATATAAAATACCTGGCACTGGGCTGGGATATTAATTTTTCCCCTCTTCACAGTGAATTCTGTCCATAGCCCTGACGTGGGCCAGCACAGTGGTTAGAGCCCAGGAGTAGAGTTCAAGTTCTAAATCTGGCTCTGCTTCTCACCAGCAGGTGACCTAAACTGAACTTCAGGCCCCCTTTGCTGTAAAAGGATGGGGCAGTTCCCATCCCATGAGATAATCCCTGTCAAGGATAGAGAGGGGGCCCCAGAGGGGTAGCTCTCCTTCCCACCCCCTCTCTGCTCCCCACCTGGGCTCAGGGCTTACCTTCTGTGGTGAGGCTGTCGATGAAGAGGGAGGAGGAGGTAGTGGTGAGGTCTCCATCGTAGGGGCTGGAGGAAGTGTCAGGGGAGGCTGAGTGGTGGTCCTCATCCTGGAAGTCCTCGCACGTCCTGCCCTCTGCCTGCAGGAGAGAGCCAGTGCTGTATCCTGAATGCATTTACACCTTTCACTTCATCCTGAAAGCGTCTTATCTTACGCGGCAATTTATCTGTCAGCTGCTTCAAATCCATCCTCAAGGAAGGGGCTGAGATGCCAATCTTAAATAAATAGAGCAAATCTGAATGGTCACCAACAGCCAACTTCCGAAGCAGGCGGCTGGACAGGAATTTGTTTAAGGCCAGAAAAAGACAGCTTGTCCAGACTCAGACTAATAAATACACTGTGGTGAGTGCATCGCCATGGGGTCTGAAGAGGTGATATTTAAATGCTGGGCCCATCACCTTCTAGCTGTGAGACTCAGGCCAATTCATTAAATTTCTCTGAAGCCCAGCTTTGCCCTCTGATCAATGGGGACAGTGGCCCTCAGCTTTTGGGTCAGGCTGAAGAAGAGCGAGGGTAGGGCAACTCAGAGTGACATGCTTGGCACAGGCAGCAAGCTTGCTTTGCAAGAAGAGATAAAGGGAGGGGGGAAAGAAGAGTGCACAGATGAATAGACCCATCTGTGTTAGTCTACGGTGTGAGAATAGGATGCTCCCCACCCAGAATCAAAGTGTTGAGTGTACTGGAAAATTCTTGCCGTGAGAAGGAACCTGGATGGGATTCTAAAGAGGAGACACCTGGAACCACCCTCCGCACTCCCGGAATGACTGCCTTCCTCAAAAGCCAGAGGACCAGAGGCTCAGCAGGTGCATCATCAACGTCAACAGGGGCACGGTCTCCCAGAGCACCCAGTGGTGGCTGAGGCCATGCCCAGCATCCCCTCTGCATGCACCAATAGAATTCCTTGAGAGCTGCCCGCTCAAGGTCAAGGCATCAGAATGCTTGTCTCAGAGACCCACAGAGCCCTCTGAAACCTTCCAAAGTGGGTCTGATTGGCTCAGGGCAGTCTGGAAAACAAATCTCAGATGGAGGGGAGGATATTGCCAAGAGCTAACAACACCTTGAGGAGAGTTTCGAGGGGCAGGGCCTGCCGGCTGCCCTGTTCTCCACCACCTGGCACAGGAGTTGCAGCAGATGCTTACGCTTCTCACCTCCTGTGCACAGCCGTAGTCCGTCCACTCCTGGCGATAGCGGTCAAAGCCACTGGAGCATCTGCAGGAGGATCAAAAGGTCAGAGGTATGATGGGATTGACAAAGAAGCCCTCCCCTTTTACTGTTCGGTAACAGCTCTCTGCTGATAGTGAGAGGAGGAGCTAAGGTCTCCAGGCTGAGGTTTCTTTTAGGGCTGGGTGTGGTAGCTCATGCCTGTAATCCCATTGTTTTGGGAGGCTGAGACAGGAGGATTGCTTGAGCCCAGGAATTTAAGGCTGCAGTAAGCTATGATGGCACCACTGCACTCTCCAGCCTGGGTGACAGAGCAAGACCCTGTCTCCAAAAAAAAAAAAAAAAAAAAAAAAGCTTATTTTAGGCTATGCTAACTGATTCTTTCAAAGATTGAGCCTTTGGTATAGGCGCATGATCCCCATTTCTGGAGGTAATCCTGGAATTAATGTAACCCTTAGAATCCAGAGTGGGCCATGGGGCAGGGGCACCTGCCATGGAAGATGAAATTGTTTAAATCCATTCCAGCCCAAGAGTAAAGAGGAAGGCTCATGGAGGCTGTGAAAGACAGAGTGGGTAGAGAGGACGGGAGCTGGGAACCATGCAGGGACTGACTGCAGCTGTTGGTGGAGAGACCATGTCAGCTGGCGCTGCCCGCTGAGTTTTTAGGGACCTGGGTTCAGCTCTCAGTTGGAGCTGAGGCTCCAGAGAGCTTGCAAGAAAACACAATGTGCCAGAGTGAGCCCAGGCCCATGGGGCGCCTGGGGATGGGATGCTTTCCAGCCTGCATCAGGTGTGCTCCCCCTGATGGAGTTTCTCTGTGCTCCCACCAACTGTGCTCCCCCGAATGCAGTTTCTCTGTGCTCCCCCCAGCTGTGCTCCCCCTGATGGAGTTTCTCCGTTTTCTCACCACCTGTGCTCCCCCAATGAAGTTTCTCTGTTTTCCCACCAGCTGTGCACCCCGGATGGAGTTTCTCTGTGCTCCCACCACCTGTGCTCCCCTGGATGGAGTTTCTCTGTATTCCCACCAGCTGTGCTCCCCCAGATGGAGTTTCTCTGTTTTTCCACCAGCTGTGTACCCCCGGATGGAGTTTCTCTGTTTTCCCACCAGCTGTGCTCCCCCTGATGGAGTTTCTCTGTGCTCCCACCACCTGTGCTCCCCTGGATGGAGTTTCTCCGTTTTCTCACCAGCTGTGCTCCCCCGATGGAGTTTCTCTGTTTTCCCATCAGCTGTGCTCCCCTGGATGGAGTTTCTCTGTGCCCGTCTTTGCTGACACAACCCCCAGTAGATGCATACAACCAGAGGCCTTGCCCTCCGCTCAACCTGACCAACCTCCAAATGTTGAGGAGGGCCCAACCCTCGTTAAACCCATGGTCTCTGAGTTTGGGCGTATGCTTTAAATGGGGGTTGCACTGATGCGAGGGTTTGGCTGGTCATCTGACCCATTTTGCAGTTCTCATGGCTCAGTGCTTGTTGAAAGCTGAGTCATGCAGTGACAGCCAGCCCCAGGAGCCCAGGCTCATCTGAGGTCATCTCCCCATTGCTCAGACAATGGTTCTCAAATTTGAAAGTACGCAAGGGGGACCACTTCAAAAATCAGATTCCTGGGATCTTGGTTTCAGGGGATCATATTCAGTGAGTTGGGATGGGGCCCAGGAATCCACATTTTATTTTATTTTATTTCCTTTTTTCTTCCCCAAGAACATTTGTGAACTCGATGAAATCCGCATTTTACAAGCCCTCCAGGTATAAGGAGAGCCTCACAGTCTGCAGACTATTCTGCAAAGCTCTGTTCCAGGAAGAACCAACCTGGGGTCTATCGTAGATACTCTTTCTGAGGCTCTGAGTCTCACATGAAGGTTGCTGAATGCTTTGTAAAAATGCATCTTGATAGACTGGGTGCGAAGGCTCCCACCTGTAATCCCAGCATTTTGGAAGGCTGAGGAGGGCAGATCCCTTGAACCCAGGAGTTCAAGACCAGCTTGGCTAACAGAGTGAGACCCCATCTCTACAAAATATTAGAAAAATGGCCAGGTGCTGTGGTGTGCGCCTATGGTCCCTACTACATGGGAGACTGAGGCAGGAGGATTGCTTGAGCCAGGAGGATGAGACCGCAGTGAGCTGTGATTGCACCCCAGCCTGGATGTTAGAGCAAGACCCTGTCTCAAAAAAAAAAAAAATGCTGTTTGAGGAGTTTAAGTAGCTGTGTTCATTCCCACATCTTCCTGAATCACATGACCCTAGCCCATTTTACAGGGTAAACAAACTGAGGCCCCAAGAGAGTGAATAAAAGCACAGCTGGTGGGAAGAACACCTGGGAGGCCTGATGGGCACACACCCCATCCCCTCCGGGCCCAGAGCCATGTCCGGTGTGCTGGGCAGGCTGCTACAAAGGCAAGAACTTCCACACTTGCAGCAGAATATTGGAAAGAAGCAAAGGAATCCTGGAATTACTGTTACCCTTAGACTCCAGAGTGGGCCGTGGCGCGAGGGCAAAGGAAATCCCTGGGGCCAGGGGCAGTGGCTCACGCCTGTAATCCCAGCACTTTGGGAGGCTAAGGCGGGTAGATCACCTGAGGTCAAGAGTTTGAGACCAGCCTGGCCAACATGGTGAAACCCTGTCTCTACTAGAAAAACACAAAAAATTAGCAGAGTGTGGTAGTGTGCACCTGTAATCCCAGCTACACAGGAGGCTGAGGCAGGAGAATTGCTTGAACCCGGGAGATGAAGGTTGCAGTGAGCTGAGATTGCACCATTGCACTCCAGCCTGGGCAACAAAAGCAAAATTCTGTCTCAAAAAAGAAAAATTAAAAAAAAAAAAACCAAGCCCTGGAAAGGAGCATTGGAAAGGAGCGGCACGACAGCTGCACAGGAACTCAGAGACTATAATTTAGCAGTTTTCAAGATTGCCTTAAAGGCTCTTGGAGTTCATAGGGCTTCCCACTCTCATGAGAACTCTAGTCCCCAAGGAAATCTTTTTCTTCCCCCTCCTCCTGTCATTTATTTATCTTGGACAGAGAACAGAGCTTGAATTCTGAGTCTAATCTGTAAGGAAATGATTTCAGAACAAGGAGTGGAAGAAGAGATGGATTTAAGAACTTTATCACTGAAACTGAATCTCACCCAGAACTTTCTGAGCTTCTAAAACCAAGCAAACACAGCTTTTCAGCTCCCTCCAACTTTCCATGGATGCCTGCAGTCCACACCCCTGGTCTTCAGAAAACCCTGTTACAGCCCAAGAAAGATTTTGAGGTGGTGTTTCGGGGTCCTGGGTCTTTGGACCAGATCTTGTCTCTGAACTGGAAGTTCTCACACTTCTTTGCAGATGAGGCATGATGTTAAAATGCAGCTTCCTGGGTTCTCTCCCAGAGATCCTGATACAGAGTGGCTGGGATGGGTCCCAGGAATCTGCGTGTTTAACCGGAGCCCGAGGTCTGATGCCCACAGCTGTGGATCACTCTCTAAAAAGCCCTGTTCGAGGATGAACCCTCCCCTCCTGGGTGTGAAGAGGGAGCCTGAGCAGCTAGAATCCCTAAATAGTCTCCAGAAGTCCCCAGGCTATGTTCTTGTCCTAAGAATCAGAGTGGCACTGGCCAGAGATACTCTCATGTTGGCAGACTGTGGGCAGTGGGGCTGGGAGCGGGGCCGTGCCACCGTCTCCCTCCTCCACAGTCAGCTGCGGGAGTCAGCGGGTAACCCTGGGCGCAAACCTCTGGAGGACATGGCACCAACTGCAGTTGAAGGTCAGGTCCGAGGACATGCAGGCATCACAGCTCCGATGCTGCAGGCAGGCTGCAAGAGAGAAGGCAGCAGCCGCTCAGCACCGAGCCTCTCCACGGGCTCCAAAGGGTGCAACTCTGAATTCCCGGTATTTACAGAACTGTGGAGCCCCTGATGTAGAGGGGACCTTTGAGGTCATTAACGCCACCTCCCTTGGTCCAGTCCAGCCCCAATTCCTGACTTTTTTTTTTTTTTTTTTTTTTTTAAGGGATGAGGTCTCGCTATGTTATCCAGGTTGGCGTTCAATGACCTGATCATGGCTCACTACAGCCTCGAACTTCTGGGCTCAAGTGATCCTCCCACCTCAGCCTCCTGAGTAGGTGGGACTACTGGCATGAGCTCACCCGCCCTCCCTCTCTCCCTCCCTCCTTTCCTTTCTTCCTTCTTCTGTCCCTCCCTCCCTCACTTCCTCACTCCCTAGCTTCCTTCCTTCTCACCAGAAGGTCAGACCCTAAACTGGGTGATGGGGATTCACAGTGAGACCTAGTCCCTGCCTTCTTAGGGCGTAGACTCGTATGGGGAGATGGACACTAAACAGATAATCAAAAATCACTACAGAATTATAATTGTCATGAGGTCTGTGAAGGTAAATGACAAGGTGCTGTACGTGTGTACAAAGGAATCTCACCTCACTGGAAACATTATACCTCCAGGTGCGTATCCCACAGTCACAGGGTTGAAAGGGATTTTTTAAAGGTCAGAGGATACAAAGTAGCAGTTATGTAGGATGAACAAGGCTGGAATCTACTGTGTAACATGAGGACTGTAGGTAATAGAATTGTACTGTATGTGGAGTTGATGCTCAATGACTAGATTTTAGCTGTTCTTGCCACAAGAACAGAAAATCTAGGTAGCTGTGAGATGATGGCTATGTTCACTGCTTCATCGTGGGAACCTTCTCGCTGTCTATATGCATCCCATAACATCATGTATACCTGAAATAGCTATGGTAAAATAAAAGTTATTCTTTTAAAAGATGCTCTGGTTGCCCCCCACAAGTGCTTGTTGGGGACTCTCGCTGCCCACTCCCGATGTTCAGTCCTCGGGGAGAGAACAGCTCCCCCGTGGGAGAAGAAGTCTAGGCAGAAAGGTCCCATGTGCAGAGTCGGGAGGGGAGTGGCCCGGACGTGGTCCCAGCAGCACCCAGAACTACCACCAGGCGTCACAGAGTGAAGGGGCCGGAATTAGCAGGAATGAGGAGGGACCGAAGGCTGGGGCCCAGAGAGCTGAGAGATGAGTGGGAGCAGGTTGCTGGAGGATGTGTGGACTCTTCTGGCACAGGCCAGGCAGAGAGCAGCAGGGCAGGGGGCGCGGGAGGCTTGGGGGCTGGATTTAAGAGCTGTTCACTTGCAATCCAGTGCTACTCACTTCAATGAACCAGAGCAGCTCTGAGTGGCAAGTAGTTCTCACAAAGCCCATGCATTTTATTGCAAAGAGAGACAGGCACTCACCCAGCACAACCGTGTGCAGAAGGGCTTATCTTATAAGCGGCAGAACGGAGCACCTTGATAGCCGCAAGAAGTGGCAACTAACGACAGAAAATGACCATTTGATCAACATCGCGTGCACTTCTTCTTGTGTGAGTTCTCATGTGATCCATTAACTCAGGAGCCAACATGCATCACATGGAGCCCCAGCAACATGGCAGCTGGGAACCACCCTTGGTGAGTGGGAGAGGCTATGTGGGCACGGTGTGGCCACCTTCAGTCACTCTAGGAGGGACTGGCAGTGGGTGGCACTATGTCCTTTTGTCTGCCACGGTGAAGGCCCTGGGAGAGTGGATGGAAAGAGCCACAGGCAGGAAAGCAGCAGGGGCTGCCCCGTGCAGGAGGATGAGCACTCTCTGGCTGTTTTACTCCCTGTATGTCCAGCGGGTCTGGAACAGTGCCTGGCACATGGCACGTTGAATCAATATATAAGTGCTCTTGTTATCCCCATTTTATGGAGGAGGGAACTGAGGCTTGGAGAGAGTCATGGAGCTGAGAGTGCGAGGTCTGGGTTTGAACCAAGGTCTCTCTGAGCACAGAGACTGAGCTCTTCGCCTGGAGGTCTCACTGTGGGTTTCCCCTGCCCCAGCTCCCACTCCCACCCCAGTCCTCCTTTTCATGGGTCTCTCCTAGAAGAAGGACCAGGAGGGACCAGCCACAGAGTATGATGGCTTGGAGATAAACCACTCACCCCTCCGAAGTAACTTGGACAAGTCCTTCCCACACCCAAATGATAAGGGAGAAGCCAGGGGATGCAGAGTTTTCTATCTGGCCTCCCAGGGACTCAAATCACAGCCTTGAGAGCACTACCCCTCCTTCGCCAACTGCATCCAGGTGGGAGCCCTGCCCCTGCCTCTCCCGGTGACTTTGGAGGCCCCTTAAAAGCCTCCAGCTAAACTGGCCACAGAGAAACTTCTGGGATCTTCCTGGGGTATTCATAACACCTACCGACCTTTACTTCTCATCCACATTTCAGATGGCCCGAATGCTATTAAATGCGCACAAAATTCACTGGAGGGGTGGGAAGTGCCTTAAATGTACTGTGTCCCAGAAACGCATTCCCAGAACATTTCACTGCTTCCGCCCAGGCAGTCAGCCCTGCCCTTGGATGCCCTTGCTCCGAAATGCAGTTTTATCCACATCACAGAGCCTGAGGTTTACTCTCACCAGTCCTCGAGGAACCTCCAGTTCTCAGGCCCTGGGCCTTCTGCCTCGATGGAGGGTGACAGGGTTGGAGTATGGCTGTGACCTCTAAAGTGTCCCAGCCCTGTGACCCCCTGGTGTCTGGGTCCTTCCTGTTCTCCAAGGGAAGACACCTGCTGAGCCCTGTCTGAGATGTGGCCTAGCATTCAAGAAGATCCTCACTCTTTCTCTTCCTCTCGTTTCTCCACCTCCTGCTCTCAGAACCTCCAAGGAAGAGGAAGCAGGGATAGAGAGAGGCAAGAAATGCCACGGGAGGCCAGGCGCAGTGGCTCACGCCTATAACCTCGGCACCGGGCGCGGTGGCTCACGCCTGTAACCTCGGCACCGGGCGCGGTGGCTCACGCCTGTAATCCCAGCACTTTGGGAGGCTGAAGCAGTTGGATCACTTGAGGCCAGGAGTTCAAGACCAGCCTGGCCAATTTAGTGAAACCCCATCTCTACTAAAAATACAAAAATTACCCAGGTGAGGTGGCACACGCCTGTAATCCCAGCTACCTGGGAGGCTGAGGCAGGAGAATTGCTCGAACCTAGGAAGTGGCGGTTGTAGTGAGCCAAGATCGCACCATTGCACTCCAGCCTGGGCAACAGAGTGAGACTCCATTTCAAAAAAAAAAAGAAAGAAATGCCACTGAGGCAGGGAGAAGGCCAGGGGTTCAGGAGGAAGCAGGGGGCACCACAAGATGGGAGAGGAAATGAAAACCTTCATGAAACAACAAGAAGGAAGGCGCTCTCCTCCTTCCCACGTTCTCAGCCATCCCAGCCCATCTCAAGGAGCTTCCGCTGCAGATCCTGGGGGCTCCACACAGCAGGTGGGGCCTCAGCCATGGCTGCCCTCACTGTGGGTGAGTGGGGTGCAGAGGGCCAGGGCCCCATGGTTGATGGAAGCTGCCTGCTAAATCCCTCCCTTGCCTCCTGCCCGTGGAACCTGGCATCACCTCCTCTAAGGAAAATACAATGACAAACTGGGGCCCATCCAGTTCCTGGATCACCTTTTCTGGGAGCTCAGTCTAAGCGTTCTCAGAGGTACAGCTTTCCCGGCTTTCGATTATGTGAGAATGACATAGCTGTCCTAATCAAGCCCTAAGCACACCCCAAGCCTGGGATGGAGCCGTCAAGTGTCAGAGCTGCCGCCGACATGCTCAACTCGGCCTAGGTGGTTCTCACCCTTACCCTATCTCTGGGAGGAAGGCGGCATCAGGCCTGAGTTACAAAAGAGAGAGGGAGGCCCAGAAAAGTTAGGTGGCCGCACAAAACAGGAGTCAGTCATGGGCCTGGGACCTGAAGCCAGTCTGCCTGACTCCAGAGCTCCTTCTGGGATGGTGGAATGACCCCTACTCACTTGGCAATGGGGTGAACTCCACGGCCGACATGCTGGTGACCTTGCTGGGGTCCAGCTCGATGCGGTGGTATTCAAAGATGCTCCTTCGCCGAGATTCTGAAACAGAGGCAGAGCCTGTCGTCAGGAGCATGTCACAGGCAGAGGGCTTCGAGGCCTCTTCCCAGAGCCTGACAGGTTAGCGTGCTGCCACTGAAGGCAGGAAGTACACCCATCAGCCTGGGACGATGATGTCGAAGCTGCTGGAGACAGAAACAGGTGCGGACCTGGGGAGGAGAGTGTTGTGGTGTGAGGCTGAGCAACTCAGTGCAGAGACCTGGCTGCTCTTGGGGGCAGGACACAGGGGATCCCATGCCTGCTTCCCTTGCCTCTGCGCCTCCGCAGCTGCTGTTTTCTTGACCCAGGATGTTCTTCCAACCCTTCTTCCTGTCTAGCTCATCCTTGCAGATCCAGCTCAAGGGCCACTTCCCCTGAGCAGCCGTCCTTGGCCAGCTCCCTCCTTCCCCCGGCTCAGGCCCGGTGCCCTCCTCCCACTGCACTCACCACACTGTGTGGACACGAGAGATCATTTGGAGGCGGGGAGTGCGTCAGACCATGATCATCTGGTCCCGAACCTCGCTGAGTACTCTGTGAACGTCTGCAGCTGGACAGGCTGACTTTTACATGTTGCTGTCCACAATTGACCTCACCCTTCCTGGACAAAGGCCCTGGCAAGGCCCTGTCGAGACTTCTCTGTGCACCCCATGCACCCTTTCTCTGTTTACGCGAGTTTGAATTGGGTCTTTGTCACTAGAAGTAAGTGGGGACATATGTTTCTCACTCAGCTGAAGGTGCTTTGGAGGAAAATTTCCCAAGGTGGCAGCAGAGCTGAGCAGGGGCCTCCACAAAGGGGTGGGCGTCCTGTGCTGCTGCTGGGTGCCCCGCCCCCACATCCCCTCCTGTATAAAGAATCTGGAGGAGCTTCGTCCGTGTTTCACATACTATCTCAGCTGTATCTCATCGTTTATTTTATTTATTTTTGAGACCCAGGCTGGAGTGCAATGGGACAATCACAGCTCACTGCAACCTCTGCCTCCTGGGTTCGAGCAATTCTCCTGCCTCTGCCTCCCGAGTAGCTGGAGTTACAGGCACCCGCCATCACACCTGGCTAATATTTTATATTTTTACTAGAGATGGGCATTTCACTATGTTGGCCAAGCTGGTCTCCAACTCCTGACCTCGTGATCCACCCACCTCAGCCTCCCAAAGTGCTGAGGTTACAGGCGCCAGCCACCACGTCAGGGCACATCTCTTTACAATTTGCCAAGCCTAATTATTTATTTAAAAATAAATAATTGGCTGGGCACGGTGGCTCACCCCTGTAATCCCTGTACTTTGGGAGGTTGGGGCGGGCAGATCACCTGAAGTCAGGAGTTCGAGACCAGCCTGACCAATGTGGTGAAACCTCATCTCTACTAAAAATACAAAAATTAGCCAGGTGTGGTGGTGGGCACCTGTAATACCAGCTACCCAGGTAGCTGAGGCAGGAGAATCACTTGAACCCAGGAGGCGGAGGCTGCAGTGAGCCAAGATTGTGCCACTGCATTCCAGCCTGGTGACAGAGCAAGATTCCATCTTTTAAAAAATAATTAATTGCTTCCCTTTTGCGGCCATCACCTAAGTGGGAGCTGCCAAAATGAAGTTCAATCCCTTTGTGACTTCCGACCGAAGCAAGAATCGCAAAAGGCATTTCAATGCACCTTCCCACATTCGCAGGAAGATTATGTCCTCCCCTCTTTCCAAAGAGCTGAAACAGAAGTACAACGTGCGATCCATGCCCATCCAAAAGGATGATAAAGTGCAGGTTGTACGAGGACACTATAAAGGTCAGCAGATTGGCAAAGTAGTCCAGGTTTACAGGAAGAAATACGTAATCTACATTGAACGGGTGCAGCGGGAAAAGGCTAATGGCACAACTGTCCATGTAGGCATTCACCCCAGCAGGGTGGTTATCACTAGGCTAAAACTGGACAAAGACCGCAAAAAGATCCTTGAACGGAAAGCCAAATCTCACCAAGTAGGAAAGGAAAAGGGCAAATACAAGGAAGAAACAATTGAGAAGATGCAGGAACAAAGTAACCTTATATATAAGCTTTGATTAAAACTTGAAATGAGGAAAAAAAATAATAATAATAAGTCAAAATTCAAAAGATAGAATGATTGTGTGTCTCCTAAAGAACCCTAAGTCTGAGAGAGGAGGCTGAGTGGCAAGTCTCATAAGTATCAGGCAGTAACTGCCAGGTGCCCACAGAGTCACTGTGGCTCTAAGAGGAGCTTTCCTCCATCAAAAGCTGAGGGGGCGAGGTCCACGGAGCCCTGTACCCTCGTGGGCACACCTAAGCCTCCAAGACACACACACACCTGCACACAAGCACACATGACCCTTTGACACAAGAAAGACCCTTTGTCAAGCACAAGTGGGGTCCGACAGAGATTGGAGTGAGGATGGGCACCTTTTTGTAATTCACATGCCCAGAGGCAGCACCAAGGCCCCCAGTGCTGCAGGTGCCCCTAAGTGACGCCAATGGCTATGAGAAGGTGGCCTGGGCTCTGAGTGAGCCTGGGGGCCTAGGAACATCTAGATGAGGATGGAAAGTCTTAGGCAGCCTTTCCCACGCCATCCCCACTCACTACACCCAGGAGCCATCTCTCCTTCCCCTTCAGCACCAAAATGTAATTCGATAAAAAATAAACATGAGACCAGGCTTGGTGGCTCACGCCTGTAATCCCAGCGCTTTGAGAGGCCAAGGTGGGTGGATTACAAGGTCAGGGGTTTGAGACTAGCCTGACCAACATGGTGAAACCCTGTCTCTACTAAAAATATGAAAATTTGCCAGGCGTGGTGGCACGCCCCTGTAATCCCAGCTACTCAGGAGGCTGAGGCAGGAGAATCACTTGAACCTTGGAGGCAGAGGTTGCAGTGAGCCAAGATTATGCCACTGCACTCCAGCCGGGAGACAGAAGCAAGACTACATCTCAAAAAAATAAAAAATAAAGATGAAACTCCAGGTCTCCCATGTCCTGACTTTCAAGGTGTCTGTGGCCATGGGGTCTAGAATCCAATGTCAACCTTTCTTCCTTCGGCTGCCTCACACTTCAAGGCTCAGCTCAAATGGCGTCCCCTCCTTGAAGACTTCTCCACTCTCAGGCAAAGTTACTGCCTGCCAACCCCTGCTGGCCCGCCCTAAGCCTACAGCCCCTGAGAAATGTCCAGTGTTCTCCATTACGTTGCTCAGTCAATATCTGCTCTCCTGGCCACTCCCACAGCCAGATCACAAGCTCTGCTAAGACCGTCTGCATGGAATCTGTCTCCGTACCTCAACCCCTAGCACAAGGCATTGCACTTAAGAAATGACTGTGAGTGAATGAATGGGTTACAAATAGTCAAGAAAACCTCAACAACTTACAACATCAGCCCACAGCCCAAAGGAAGCCCACCCTTCCTCCCCTGCCCACCACAGATGACTGCCTTTCTCAAAAGGACCGCCCCCAAAGATCACAGTAAACCACACATGCCCCCTCCTAAGTTAGAGCCCAAAGCGGCAGGAGAGCTGGCTTTCAGGATTTCTGTACCTGCAAGGCTACAGGGCAGAGCTTGCCCTCATCAGCAGCAAGGGGAATGGGAGGGACAAAGGGACTCAGGGTGGGGCAAGGACTTTTCAAGGGAGGTGATTTCCAGGATAGAGATACAAGTGGCACCCAGGGAAGGCAGGGCTCCCAGAAACCTCACACCAGGATCTAGGGATGGGTCTCCCCACCATCCGGGCTGGGGAGCAGGGTTGGGGTGTGCCCCAAACATGAATGCAGCCAGAGACACCAGTTGTTCTCTGAAAACACAGTCCTTCCAGCGGGGTGTGGAGACCAAATGGTGCAGAAGGGGAGATGAGGGGTGGAACTATATCTCTAATTGAAACTATTCGCTCACTTCAACTGCCAGCTTGTACTTATTTGTTCGAGTGTGAGTTTGGTGATATTTTTATTTTTTCATGAAAGCATCCTTATACCCCCCCCCCCACCTCGGTTATTTGTTTTAGATTGTTTTACCAACATCTGGAGCTTGCCCAAGACAATGACTTCCATCTCCATGACCAACAGATCCTTTCTGGAACCAAGACGCAGGTTGCCCCAAAGCACCATTTCTGGCACCTTAAGGCATTCTGTTTTATCCCTGCTTCCAGGCATCAGTCAATATCTGCTCTCCTGGCCACTCCCACAGCCAGACCGAAAGCTCTGCCAAGACGGTCTGCGTGGAATCTGTCTCTACCTCATCCCCTAGCACCAGGCCTTGCACTTAACAGGACCTTAAGACATGACTGAGTGAAAAGACTCAGGGAGCAGAGTAGTGGGGAAAACAGAAGTGAGAAGGGAAACAAGGGAAGGATGGGCCCCCAAATTAAAAACTTCCAACGAAGGGCACTTTAAAGGATGCTTTATCAGAAGAGGCGAGAAGGCGCAATCGCCCGATCTGGCGACCACATCAGCTTCTCCCTGCCCCCACTTCCTCAGTGGGGAAGGAGGATGAGGCCGGGAGCTGCTGGCAGTGTCTGGGGGTGAGGTGCTGGCTTTCACCTGGCAGGTGGATGGACCCAACACCTCAGCACACAGCCCCTAGAGCCCTTCTGCAGCCAGCGCTGGAGCCCTTTGTAAGAAAACCCTCATTAACTGATTCCACTAATTCAGAATCCCTATTGTTGAGAAATGTTAAGTTTACCCCGTCCCTGTGGCTCCCTCATGGAGAAAACCTCTTAGTTTGTCTAAACAGTGGTGAGCAGGTGACAGTTGCCTACTTGGTATATTTTTGAGTTATGGGAAAGTACAGAGCACCTGTTTGTTAATAATGGCCACCTGTTTGGAGAGAATCAATTCGTGGATCAGAATCTGCTTGGGGCCTTCAGCCTGGAATGCTGTCAGCCCCTGAGGCTCTCAGCTCAGAAGGCTGCTGGCCCCCCGATAGACCCACTTTGCTGTTCTATCTCATTTCCTTCAGCGCCGCCTGGGTGGGGGTCTCCCAGCCAATCTGGTACTCGGTACCCTGTCAGTTTTGATGTTGGGAATGCTAACGTTGCTTTCATACTGACCACGAACTAAAGAGTTTCTTAAGCAAATGAACAGAGGAAATGATACTGACTTCTGGTGGTTAGTCTGTCCAGCCACATAGTAAATACGCTGCCCTGTGTGTTTTGAGTGCCTCTCCAAACAGATGCTGTTAATTGCACGTGACTTTTCTTTTCATCAAAGATGATTTGCAGACTCTGCTGAAAAGCCTGAGGAATGGTTTATATGAGGAAGTACTGGTAGGAAGAATGCTTGTGGTTCTCAGCCTGTCCTTCCCTCTCCCGCAGGAGTGAGGCTGTGAAGAATCCTCCCATCGCACCTCCCATCCCCTCGCCTAGCAGGGGTGGGGAGGAAAGTGTTTAGGCCGAGGGGAGGAGAGTTTCCTCCAGACAGGGTTCAGTGGCTGGGGATTCCTAAACAGTGAGGAATCAAACTCCCCTCCCCACATTGCCCCAGGCAGGGAGGAGTCAACCCTGGGCACAAGGATGGTGACGCCACCATTCTGCGTGACCAGGTGGGCTTGGTCAATGGGATCGTCCGTGGTGATCACATGGTCTGCAGACCAGATGGCTCTTCCTGAGCTTGTTTCCTTGAAGCAATGGTCATTTGGGGTTTACAATTCCCAGCAGCTCAACCTAATCCAAACAAATTCCCTGCGTGCGGGGTTGAATATGGGACCCAAAGGCATCTGACCTCTTAGCCACATAAAAGCCATTCCTCCCCAGAAGCAGAGGCTGTGGCCCGTTTTAAACCCCAGTGAGGGCCATGGGTCCTGTCCCAGAAAAATGCATGGGTGTGAGCAGGCTCCGTTTGCATTTCAACACTCCACAGACAGGCCCTGCACGGTGGCTCATGCCGGTAATCCCAGCACTTACAGAGGTCGAAGCAGGAGGATGGCTTGAGCCCAGGAGTTCAAGATCACCCTGGGCAACATAGTGAGAGCTTGTCTTTACAAATAATAAATAAATAAGACGGGCATGGTGGCACACACCTATAGTCCCAGCTACTCAGGAGGCTGAGGCAGGAGGATCGCTTGAACCAGAAAGTTGAGGCTGCAGTGAGCTATGATTGTGCCACTGCACTCCAGCCTGAGTGACAGAGCAAGACCCTGAGTATTAAAAATAAATAAATAAATAAATAAATAATTAAAAAACCCGAGGCCGGGTGCAGTAGCCCACGCCTGTAATCCCAGCACTTTGGGAGGCGAAGGCCGGCAGATCGCCTGAGGTCAGGAGTTCGGGACCAGCTGACCAACATGGTGAAACCCCATCTCTACTAAAATATTCAAAAATTAGCCAGGCATGATGGTGGGTGCCTGTAATCCAGCTGCTGAGAGGCAGGAGAATTGCTTGAACCCAGGAGGTGGAGGTTGCAGTAAGCCAAGATGGCACCACTGCACTCCAGCCTGGGTGACAAGAGTGAAACTCCATCTCAAAAAGAAAAAAATTCCCTATACAATTTTAAGAGTTCCCAGACTTCCTGAATCTTATGCCTGTTCCCAAAAGCTAAAAACCTCTGACAAAAAGGGATGCAATTTCCAAAACAACTCCCAAACTCAAGTGATGTCAGGCCCCTGTTCCCACCTAGAGTCACAACAGAGCCGAGGGCAAGGTCTATGCTGTGTCTATTCCCTCAGCGGTGCCCTGACCTCAACACCTAGGTCCACTTTCTTGCAGTTATTCATTTTCTAAAAATTGTAGCGCTTGCCCACTGGGCTCAGTGCTGGGGGCCACAGAGAGCCCGCAAGCAATTCACACCTGGTTGGGGAGGATGACATGTTAAAAGTATCAGCATTTGTTCTTGCTACCGCTAGAAAGAAAAGCAGGGAGAAAAAAAGTCAGCGAAATGCTAGGGGAAAGAAGAGAAAACCGTGAATTCCGCTGCACGGCGGAGTGGTTACTTGCATAGCATCTGAGCTGGGCCGCTGGCTGGGGAGAATAGTGCCAAGCAGTAAAAAGGACTGGACTAAGAGGCATTTTATACGAAGGGACTGTGTCATAGCGATGTGGATGGCCCTTGGCATGTTCAGGGAACCCAGCGGACACAGAGCAGAGCTGCCCAGGCAGAGGGCGGTGAGTGGAGGGAGGGTTTGGAAATCAGCCTGCGTGGTTGACTGCGCCCAGCTGTGCCGGGCCTTGAATGCCACACTGAGGATTTTGGCCTGACCTGTGTGTGGGCAGCAAGAAGTCAGAGAATGATGTGATCAGATCTGACGATGACAAGGAGGAACAGGGGACAGAGGGAAGGTGTTAGGGGGAGATCCCACAAGCGCTGAGGCAGGAGCAAAAAGCTTCAGCCTATTTCCATATAAATAATGATGAAGAAAGCAACTAGAAATATAACCGTAGTAGTTATTAGTTATTCACATGTGACCTTAGTTATTCATAGGTGATCCTAATTCTTTTACTAATGCCTTTCAGGTTGGAAGTGTGAACCTGGGGTGACATTGTCAATTGAATGACACTAAGGCAAGATGCTCTAAGCCCTCTGTCACACCCTCATAAGGGCTGCTGGAGGGCGCTTTGGCTGTGGGCAGCATCAGCGCTGGGAAAGTGCCCGCTATTTAGCCAGCTAGGGAAGGAGACGTCCAAAATAGCTGAGATGTCTCCTTCCTTGGGGGAGTTAGGAGAAAACTCTGCTTCTCCAAGCTCTTGCGGTAGGCCTGATGGCTGTCAGGGACACCCACAGACATCCGGGGGTTTAACTGTCTCTATGTGATGCTGTGCTTCAGGGGTCACATTCCATGTCCACGCTCATGTTCGCTTCTGCACCTGGTTCCTTTTTTCTTAGAAAAGATAATCAGCAATAGTAATATAAATCTTAATGTTTTAGTTCTTTCTCGGTAAGTATGGAAAAGGTGCTGATGCATTATGCTCCTTACCTCACTTTGGGTGCCAGAAATTCCTGAGCCCCTACCTGAATGACACGTGATGTACTTGATCCTATCACTGCCACGCCCTATCTACCCTGCGCCCAGTCTCAGACCAGCAAGACCAGGTCCTACCTTCCCTGCCCCCAGATTTACAACTCAATAAAAGTGGAGCGTCCTGGCTTTTGGGGCCACTGCTGGTTTCCGCGATTTGGGTAGCAGTGGACCCCTGGGCCCAAACTCGCTTTTCTCTATCTCCGTGTCTTGTGTCTTTTATTCCTACAATTTCTTATCTCGGAACCAGCCGGGAGGGGCTCACAGAACCCTGTAGGGCTGGATGCTATAGGAAGGAGGACGAGGGTGGGAGCTGCTGGCAGTGTCTGGGTGTCAGGTGCTAGCTTTCACCTGGCAGGTGGACACAACACCTCAGCACACAGCACCTGGAGTCAAATTCCCGCCACTTCCACCACCCAGATCTCGAGTTTCCTCCTGACCCCACAGAGCAGGCGTGGCCTCCCTGCTATTTCAGGTGGGCTGTGCCTTCCCACCCCTCTTCACCAGGCATCTCCCCAGCTGGCTCAAAAGGAGTCTTTCATTCCAGAATCACAGAGGAGCCTCGGAGGCAGATGCTACTGGGGATCTGAGCCCTCTAATTCACCCTCATTCCACAGCTTGATCAGGTACACGTTTCCTGAGACTCCACCCCGCAGAAGCCCTGTGAGGGAGGCGCAGATGAAATAGACATATCCCTGCCCAAGCACAGTCCTAAGAAGCTGCCTGGGGAGTTTGCACACAGGGCCGTGGGTGTTTGGGGGAGCTGAGGAGGAAAAGATTCTCTGGGTGGAATAGGGGTGGGTCAGTCTAAAAAAGGCTCGGTGGTGGACTCCGGGATTTAAATGGAAAAGATCTGGGCTTGAATTCTTTCATAGCTGTGTGACCACGAATAAGTCACTCTACCTCTCTGAACATTTATGTCCTCATTTAGAAAGGGACAAATGTAGGAACTCACAATGTTTAGGGGAAGATCCAAGACGCTGTACAGCTCAGTGCCTGGGAGCGAGGATCATAATCAGTGCAATAGGCAGACACTAGCACGGCCCCAGTGTGTTAGAGCCTCTGCGGTGGCTGCCTGGGATCCACAACCAGATGCGATCCAGCCCCTGAGTGTAGGCTGGATCTATGACTTGCTTCTAGCCAGCAGAATACGGCAAAAAAAAGATAGGATGTTACTTCTCAAATTAGGCTACAAAAAGACCCTGCTTTGCATCTTCGTCGCCCTCTGCTGCTGTCTTGCTTGCCCGCTCTGATGGAAGCCAGCTGCTGCGTGGTGGGGAGGTTTACCAGGCAAGGAGCCAAGGGAGGCCGCCTTGAGGAACTGAATCCTGAATCCTGAATCCTGCCAAACCAGATGAAAGCTCTGAAACAGGTCCCAACTCTCCCCACCTGCCACCCCATCATGGGGGTAACTGTGTCCCTGGCTAACACTTTTTTAAAAATTGAGATAGAGTTTCGCTGTTTCACCCAGGCTGGAGTGCAGTGGTGCAATCTCAGCTCACTGCAACCTACGCTCCTCGGGTTGAAGCAATTCTCCTGCCTCAGCCTCCCGAGTAGCTGGGATTATAGGCCCACCACCACACCCAGCCAATTTTTGTATTTTTGGTAAATATGGAGTTTCACCATGTTGGCCAGGCTGGTCTTGAACCCTGACCTCAGGAGATCCACCTGCCTTGGCGTCCCAAAGTACTAAGATTACGCATGAGCCACCATGCCCGGCCGCTGGTTAACACTTCAATCACAGCCTGTGAAAGATCTTGGACCAGAGGTCCCGGCTGAATGGTGCTTTGCTTGCTGATCCACAAAAACTCTGAGATGATATGTTGTAGTTTTAAGCCACTAAATTCTGGAGCAATCTGTTACACAGCTGTAGCTAACTAAAGCAACCAGGTGATACCGAGATGATTTAACAACTGGCTCAACACAGGCGTTAACCAACTGGTCAGGGCAGCTGTGGAGCAGGTGCTGGGGCCCACACTGCGCCACTTGATAGAGGACTGGGAGTGCAGGGGGCTAAGGGAGGGCAGGAGGGGTTGTAGAAGGTACGAGGCAGCTCAAATCAGTACATTTGCCAACAAGAATGCAAGTATTTCAGTATTTTGACAACTGATACAGCCATAGTGGAGTGCACTAGCTGACTATCAGCCCTGGATCTAGTATCTAGCGTTGGAATTGGGCCTCAAGGGATAAGGTGATATCCACAGGGCCTCCGGCACAGAGCGAGGGAAGCCACACATTGGAGCTGAAGGAAGAGTTTTCTGCTGTCACCTCTTGTGTGCAATTTCAAAGACTGCTTCACACACATACAGCAAAGACAGGAAAACAGTTCTACTGGCTAAAAAACAGTTCCTTGTGTAGCAGCAACATAACAAAGGCCCTGAAATATAAGAAACACGCAGAAGAGTTCAAGGCCATGTTTCAGAACGGGAAGGAGGGAGGGGCATTCACAGGTATCGAGTAGGTGCCTGCTGTCTGACTGGCACCGTGCCTGGCTTTCTATCTGAGTCTAGGCCACTGGGGCACAAGGGCCTCATGAGGAGCCATGTGGTATGGGTGGCAATGAGTCACAGCATCTAGGACGGTTTTGTGGAGGAAAGGAGGCAGAGGACACTGGCACTAAAAAGGGAGAAGGAGGCCAGGGGCGGTGGCTCACGCCTGTAATCCCAGCACTTTGGGAGGCCAAGGTGCGGGGATCACCGGAGGTCAGGAGTTCGAGATCAGCCTTGCTAACATGATGAAACCCTGTTTCTACTAGAAAAAAAAAAAAAATTAGCCGGGTGTGGTGGTGGGCACCTGTAATCCCAGCTACTCAGGAGGCTGAGGCATAAGAATTGCTTGAACCTGGGAGGTGGAGGCTGCAGTGAACTAAGATCATGCCATTGTAGCTTGGGCAACAAAAGTGAAACTCCATCTCAAAAAACAAAAGAGAAGGAGAAGGGAAGGGAGGGGGAGGTGCAGGCCTCCACACTTCTGGAGTGGGCTAGGCCTGGGGTACAGCCACCAGCCAACTTGCCCATGGATCAAGGCTATAACCCACCCAAATGCTTACCAGGGAGGAGAGATTCCTTATTTGCAGCTTAGCAGTGGGTGCTTTGCTCCCAAGTCCACCAGAGCCATTTGCTCCCAGAACCATCAGCTGGGACCACCCTAGTTATGCTGAGAGCTGAATTAGTCCCAAACAGAAGCAGCAAAACTTGACCACAAAACCCCTTTCTAGAAGCATATGCAAATCAGATGCTCCTCCATGACAGTGTCTGGCCCTCTGCCACCTCCCTTGAAATTATGCAGTGTTGTATGGGAAGCGTGTCTAGCCGCTGGCCCTCCCGAAAGGTGATATGCTTAGGGGAGCCCGTCTACGCCTGCTTACCAGCTGGAAATGCTAGCAGCAGGCAGATATTGGGAAGAAGGGAAGAAGAGAAAGGGAGGTTGCAGGAAGGTGGAGAAAAAAGGAGCTAGTGAATTTCTGAAGAGGGGAAAGAACTTCTGGCCTGTTGGGAATTAAGCAGGCCCCATCGCCAGCCCCTTGACCCTTGAGTGCTGCCCACCCCACCCACAGATCTGGCCAGATGAAGGTGTGGTGTGGACTGGGGTGAGTTGCTCGGTAGAGGGTAACCAGTCTTTCCTGGGCACTCCCACTGGTGGGCACTGTGCCTGGTGCTCTGTGCCTGGATATCTCAGCTAATCCACACCACAGTCCTTGAGAGGGCTCAAGGTAACTCACTGGATGGTAACAGCCACAGCCCAGACCCTGCCTTGGGACACACGGCAAGCGGAAGAGTAGGTGACAGGCATGCCCACCCATGAGGCGTGTAAAGTGCCAGAGTCTCTGTGAAACCCATTTTGGCCACAGCTATCAAAATTATAAATGCCCCTGCCCCTTGACCCAATGATTGAACTACTGAGAATTTAACATATGGAAACACTCACACGGGGGCATGACAGTACCTACCGTATTGTCTGTCATAGCCCAAGACTGGGAACAACTGAAAAGTCTATCCCCAGGGGCGGGTTAAATGAAGGGACATCCATGGAATGGACTATCACGCAGCCATTAAAGAGAAGCATGTGGCAGCTTGCTGTGTGCTGAGACAGAACAGCGGCCAGGATGTACTTTGCTCAAGTGCAGAACCACAGACATCGTATGTCCTCAAATACACACGCGCGCACACACACACTCTCTCTCTCTCTTTCTCTCTCTCTCTCTCTCCCTGAAGGCTTGCAGCTCTGGAGATAACCCAGAGCCCTGGTTTCCCCTCCCTTTGCCTCCAGGGAGGGGAACTGAGAGGCAGGGGCCCGGGGAAGGTGAAAAACCTCATCTCTGCACATTCTTTTGGGTCTTTTGCATTTTAGGCCAGATAGATTTATTCATGAAAAAATAAATTTTATAAATGAAGATAAAGAAATGCATTAGTAAATAGGCTGGGCACAGTAACTCAGCCCAGTAATCCCAGCACATTGGGAGGCTTAGTGGCGGAGGTTAGATTGAGCCCAGGATTTTGAGACCACCCCAGGCAGCATAGTAAGACCCCATCCATCTCTACAAAAAGTTAAAAAATTAGCCGGGCATAGTGGCGTGTGCCTGTGGCCCCAGCTACTTAGGAGGCTGAGGTGGGAGGATGGCTTGAGCCCAGGTGTTTGAGGCTGCAACGAGCTACTATGATGGAGACACTGCACTCCAGCCTGAGACCTTGTCTCTAGTAACAACAATAATAGAATAGTAATTCACAGCTGGGCATGGTGGCTGACTCCTATAATTTCTGTACTTTGGGAGGCCGAGGCAGGTGGATCACCTGAGGTCAGGAGTTTGAGACCAGGCTGGCCAAACTGTCTCTACTAAAAAATACAAAAACCCTGTCTCCACTAAAATACAAAAATTAGCCAGGCGTGGTATCGCACACCCATGATCCCAGCTACTCAGGAGGCTGAGGCAGGAGAATCACTTGAACCCAGGAGGCAGAGGTTGCAGTGAGCCAAGATCGTGCCACCGCACTGCAGCCTAGGTGACAGAGTGAGATTCCATCTCAAGAAAAAAAAAAAAAAAAAGAATAGTAATTCATGGAAATGGCAAAAATCTCAAAGAGGGATGTGCAGACGAGTACAGGTGGGGAAACTGTGTCACCGTAGCATGTGACTTTTTGTCCCTAGCCACAAAAGCTGCATGAAAGTACTGTGGTGGCAACATCTCACCTGTGACACCAGCATGAGGACACCGCTTGTTCCTGGTCCTGCACTGTTCGCTACAGAACCTGGTGTCGCTGGATTATAAAATACTGAGTTAGAAAGGCTACCGTAGTTAAGATATTCTTATTCAGATTCACAGACCTGATGTGCCAGACATCGGGCTCAACACTTTACATACACTGTTGCCTGTGTGTTTACAGCAGCTGTAGGGGCAAAGCGTCACTCTTATCCCTATTTTACAGATAAATAAATAAACCCAGAGAGGCTAAGTGACTCACCAGAGGTCACATGCTTGTGGAAAGTGTGGACTGCAGCTCAGACTTTCAGCTCCAGAGCTGAGCCCCTAACACTGCACTGAGCCCTAGTCCTTGCCTTCAGATTAAAAAAAAAAAAGATTAAAAGTCCCATTACCCCCCATCCCTCAAATTTCTGTTAAAGACAGAGGCTTCGCTGGGCACGGTGGCTCACGCCTGTAACCCCAGCACTTTGGGAGGCCACGATGGGAGGGTCGTGTAAGTTCAGGAGTTTGAGAAAAGCCTGGGAAACACAGCAAGACCCTGTCTCTACAAAAAATAAAAAATTAGCCCGGCGTGCTGGCACGTGCCTGTGGGCCTCCCAGCTACTTAGGAGGCTCAGGTGGGAGGATCACTTGAACCTGGGAAGTGGAGGCTGCAGTGAGCAGAAATTGCACTACTGCACTCATCCTGAATGACAGAGCAAGACCTTGTCTCAAAAAAAAAAAAAAAAAAAAAGGCTGTGCTCAGATGCTGAATGCCTCGAGGGCGGACGCCATTCCTCTTCACCATATTGCAACTTTGCCTGGAACATAGTGGCCCAGTGTATAGCAGGAACTCAGGACATGTGTACTGATGAAATCCAACAGAAATAGGCAACGATGCTTCCCCCAGGAAGCCCTGATTTTACAGAACGGTGGTACCTTGCCCCTCTACAGGAAGGCGACTTGGTGGCTCCCAAGATGTCCTTCCCTCCAGCCTGGCATGGCGAGAGTGGAGCTCAGAATGCCCCCAGGCCCCATCAAAACCCAGGTAGGGTGGGAAGGTCAGATAAAGGCTTCTCCCCAGACCTGCCTGGGGTCCTACACAGCAGAGCTTGCACATACAGCTCAGCAGAAGAGGTCAAGTCAAAAAGTCTCTGAGCCAAGGGTCTGGTAGCAGCAGCAGTGGATGGGATGCCTCTGCCTCCCCAGGAGGCCAAATTCAAGACCCTCGTGAGCATGCAGTCGGGGTTGGGAGCAGGGGAGAAAGAGCTGTGACCTCCTAAAATGTCAGCATTGGAGGAGGACCTGGGAGGGAGAAGCACCCCTTCAGCTACTCCCCCATTTTGTAGATGAGGCAACTGAGGCTAGAGAGAGAATGTGATTTGCTTTGCTGCCCAGGCTGGAGTGCAGTGGCACAATCTTGGCTCACTGTAACCTCCGTCTCTCAAGTTCAAGTGATTCTCCTGCCTCAGCCTCCCAAGTAGCTGGGATTACAGGTACACGCCACCACGCACAGCTGATTTTTGTATTTTTAGTAGAGATAGGGTTTTACCATGTTGGTCAGGCTGAGTCTCAAACTCCTGACCTCATGATCCGCACACCTTGGCCTCCCAAAGTGTTGTGATGACAGGTGTGAGCCACCATGCCCAGCCTCTATTTTTTTTGATAGAGGTGGGGGTCTTGTTCTGTTCCCCAGGCTGGTCTCAAACTTCTGGGCTCAAGCAATCCTCCTGCCTCAGTCTCCCAAAGCACTGGGTTTATGGTTGTGAGTCACCACACTGCTCATCATGCTGCCTCTTTTTTTTTTTTTTTTTTTAAGAGACAGAGTCTCACTCTGTTGCACAGGCTGGAGTGCAATGGCACCATCCCCCGGGTTCAAGCGATTCTCCTGCCTCAGCCTCCCAAGTAGCTGGGATCACAGGTGCCCGCTACCACGCCTAGCTAATTTTTTGTATTTTTAGTAGAGACAGAGTTTCATCATCTTGGCCAGGCTGATCTTGAACTCCTGATCTCAGACGATCCACCTGCCTCGACCTCCCAAAGCGCTGGGATTACAGGCGTGAGCCACGGCGCCCAGCCTGTGCTGCCTTCTTTCAGTGCTATGCCAGGCATGCTCCGACTGGCCTCAGGACCTTTACATGTGCTGTTCTCTCTCCTGGAACATACTTCATTCTCCTCTTTGCTTCCTGAACTCCTATTTATCCTGCAGATTTCAACTCTTTTCCTCAGCAAAGCCTCCCCTGGCCTCTGCCAACGTAAAGAGCTCTATGAAAGGCTCAGCTAGTACCCGGCACCTCTACTTGGGAGCCTTGTCACAGTGGTGATTCTACATTTGTCACTGTAATGATGATCCAGCTCCTCAACCAGACTTATAGCCCCACATGGGTAGGACCTGCAACCTTCTTGTTAACTGCTGTGTCCTCAGCAAGCCCCGTGCCTGGTACATCGTGAATTCTCTATATATTTGCTGAATCAAGAAAGGCTCCAAGATCCAGCTGTCTTTGCAGCTGGGCCCACTCACCTCTTTATAGCCAAAGACAATGCGGCCATCACGGTGCAGCGCTGCCTGGAAGGTGAAACTGCCCCTGTCTTCCCAGCCTTGGAGGTAGACGTGATCCCACTGAACCACAAAGACAGTCCCTGGGGAGAAGAGCAGAGAGCTGGCTGGACGGGAGATTATGTAAGGAGCAGGGCCCTGCAGAAATGCCAGTCGGGGGCTGGGCTTGGTGGTTCACGCCTGTAATTCCAGCATTTTGGGAGGCGAAGGTGGCAGATCATCTGAGGTCAGGAGTTCGAGACCAGCCTGACCAGCATGGAGAAACCCCGTCTCTACTAAAAATACAAAATTAGCCAGGCATGGTGGCGCATGCCTGTAATCCCAGCTACTCAGGAGGCTGAAGCAGTATCACTTGAACCCGGGAGGTGGAAGTTGCAGTGAGCTGAGATTGCGCCATCGTACTCCAGCCTGGGCAACAGGAGTGAAACCCTGTCTCAAAAATAAATAAATAAAAATAAAAAGCCAGCCGGGGGGCAATGGCAAGGGACAGGTGGGTCCCTTCAGGATGATGGGGAAGTTTGCCAATTGAAGGAAGCAGGAGCTGGGCAGCCCACTAAAGCAGCCTGGCTTCCCAAGCAGCAAGAGGAGCCAGGAAGTCCTGCTTCAGGCCCAGAAACCGTCCTTGGTCATCTCTTTCCCCTTTCCTTCTTGTCCATTCTGACTCCTTGAGATAAAAGGAGAAATGTCTGTTCTCCTGTGTTCAGACGGGGCTCAAGGGACATCCTGGTGAAAGTAAGAAACAATAAGGGCCCCTAGCATTTATTTCACCTCCACTAAGAGTCACACACTGTCGTTTTGTTTTCTCATCAGATTCTTCTGGGGAGCAGGCATTTTTGGCCCCATCTGACAAATGAGAAAACTGGGCAGAGAAAGGTGAGTGGCGGCCTAGCTGTGGGGCTGTGGGACTCTTGCCCTCTCTAGGCCCTGTGCTCCTCTAAAGGGCTGGACCAAGGGATCCCTGGAGGTGGGTGACTTAAATCCTGAGATCTGGTCTCACCATTGTCAAAGTAAACAACTGTGGAGTTGTCGGAGTAGCCAGGGTTGAAGTTGGCCATCAGGGGTGCCACGTACTGAGTAGCTGTGAGCATCCGATGGATCACGTCCCCCATGAAGATGAAGCCTAGGGTGGGAGAGGTGCAGAGAAGTCACCAGAAATGGCCCAGAAGGGCCGCTTTGGGGGCCTTTTTCCCAAGAAGGGCAGCGCAGGCAGAGCTGGAAGTGAGCCTCAGACCTCTGTCACCATCCCCATCTGGCAGGCTCTGGATATGGTGTGTACGAAGCCAAAGGGCCCCAGACCAGAGAAGGTCCTCCCTGTCCCTTCAGCGAGGCAGACTGTAGGTCAAGGGGACAGGAAATGGAGGGGACTCACAGCTTTCCCCATCTCTGGGGAAGTAGGATTCGGAACTGAAGTGCAGGAATTAAAGACAGGTGCCTCCTATCAGCAGAGAGCCTGGCCCGGGAGCCCAAGCTCTCAGTGGGGTCTCCCTCTCCCTCTTACCCAGTGACTCCGGGACACAGGGCCATCCACACCAACTCCTGCTGGCCCGAGGAGGCGCGCACACACACACACACAGCTGATGCAAGGGGAGTGGTCTGACGTCCACTGACCCTCCTCCTGAGAATCAGGCTCCTATTAGAGCCAAACGTGTGTCCCCCACATTCCATCCATACAACCTTGTCTCTGGTGAGCCTCCCCTGGGAGGGCCCCTGAGATCGGGCTGAGATCTCCAAACCCTCCCCACAGCCCCATGGCATGGCCTTACCTCCGGTTGCTATGGTGATCTGCCGCAGAGGATGCCCGTAGAAAGGGAAATCGAAGGACAAGACCACTCTCTGCAGGGGATGGAGAAAGTCAGGCCGGGCCAAGCTGCAGGCCAGGGACCTGGGCACCCACACTGCCTCATGCATGTTTGGACAGAGTGGGGAGCAGGTATGCCCAGGGCCACTGCCGGGTACCCCAACTCTGGCAAAGTCCCATGGGAATCCCTGGAAGGTATCTCCTAGGTCACAGAGCCCTGGCCACAGCCATGCCCACTGACCAGGCAGGATGGGTTGACCCAGGGAAGCATGGCTGGGGACCGGGACACTCACCGAAGCCTGCCGGTGGGTGTTGGAGAGGATTGTGTGGATCTTCGCTTGGCTCCGGTTGGCCTTGGCCACATCTACCCACAATTCCCGGCTGCGGGGCTCACTGGGGCCATAGAGACGGGACACATAGTAGCTGTGGTTGTCCTCCTGCCAGCACCCAAGATAAAGCCCACAGGAGGCATGAGTAGTCAGCATGCCAGGAATCACTCTCCACCCCTCCTCACCCAGACTTCTGGATACAGGAAGTCGCCACCCTCCCAGGGCGCTGGACCTGTGGCCCCAAGGGCTGGTTTAGGCCTAGGACTCCCTGAGACAGCTCACTAGCTGGCTCCTAGAGGTGCCCCCACAGGCCTGTCCGCAGCCAAATCCGCACCTGCTGCACTCATTCTCAGCCCTCCCGTTCCCAGGCAAGCCAGGAGGCTGCCAGCCCCTGCATGCCTTCAGAGCACGACCATGGCTGAGCTTGGCTTGGAGCCTGAGGGAGGAACAGACAGGATGGCCCCAAACCAGGCCCTTGTTTTCAGGGAGCTCCCAGACCGAGGGGGAGTCATTGTCCCTGCCCTGGAAGAGTACCCTATTTAATGGAAAAGAAAAATCTGGGCTGGGCACAGGGGCTCACACCTGTAATCTGTGTCGTGAGATTACAGACACACAGACCCTCAAGCAGAGATAATGCAGAGCCCAGTGCCCGCACAGCATCACCAGAGGGCTGGGAAGGGGAGAGTAGCAGCAAAGATTCCTTTGAGGCTTATCTTTGAGCCTTTGCTGTGTGCCTGATGGAGATAAAGAGCAAGCCGGAACGATGTGGGCTGGGGGTTCATTCTGCAAAGCCTCTCCTGCAGAGGAGCACTTGGGGCCGGAGTTTAAATGAGGCCAGGGAAATCGCTGGCAGAAAGACTTAGAGCCAGAGGGGGCGATGTGGGAGCACTTCCTGGAGCTGACCCAAGAGCACCAGTCGCAGGAAGAAGGGAGGAAGAGGCGGGCAGGTTCCCTTGGCAGCCAGCGCCACAGAGATGGGGCCGCTGACCCATGAGGAGCCCTGGGTCATTAATCAGGCTGCCCAGTGGCGGTGGCACAGACACAGCAGAGCAAACGACGTTCTCCCTGCCAGGCTGCCAGCTGCCCAGCCGGCCCTTGCCCTGGGCACAGTGTGAGCCGGCACAAGGGGTTCCTGCACTCCTCACCTGCCAGAAGGCACTCTGCTCTTACGACAAGTGACACACTCTGGGGACCCGGGATCAGGGCAGGCAGAGGGAAGATAAGCGGACGAAACATGGTTGGTTGGTGAGGGAGGGGAGGGCATATTTCTCTGCCACTGCCTTCCCTTCCTGCCTCCAGATGACCCATGCCTCCACCCATCCTCAGCATGGCAGTCAAACCAATCAAAAACACTTGTGCGGCCACAGCACTCTGTTCATAAGCTATGCAGGGCCCCATCAAGACACTGTCCTCAAGACAAAACCCAAAGCTCTTAGGCTGGCATGCCAGGTCCCACCGGGAGCCATCCCTGCCTCTCTCTAGCTCCTTCTCACTCCTCTCACCACCTTGGGCTTCCTTGTGCACCCACCCCCCAGACCACACTCAGGCCACCAGGGGTCACTCATGCCACTGCCCACGCTGGTCCTCCTGTCTGGAATGACCGCCCTCACCTTCTCTCCTTGGCAGATTCCTGTTCATTCAACACTAGGCTCAAACTCTGCCTTCTTTCTTTTCTTTTTCTTTTTCTTTTTCTTTTTTTGAGATGGAGTCTCGTTCTGTCACCCAGGCTGGAATGCAATGGCATGACCTCGGCTCACTGCAACCTCCACCTCCCAGGTTCAAGTAATTCTCCTGTCTCAGCCTCCCGAGTAGCTGGGATTACAGGTGCCTGCCACCATACCCGGGTAATTTTTGTATTTTTAGTGGAGACAGGATGTTATCATGTTGGACAGGATGGTCTCGAACTCCTGACCTCAAGTGATCCATCCACTTCAGCCTTCCAAAGTGCTGGGATTACAGGCATGAGCCACCACGCCTGGCCAAACCCTGCCTTCTTCTTGGCCTTCCACCACTGCCTGCCCAATGATGACCTCCACCCCCTACAAGACGCCTCCACTGTCCCTTAGTTCAAGGGGTCCTCAAGGGATGATTCACAGGTACTATTTGCAAGAGTCACATGGGGCACTCTTGTTGAATTTCTGGTTTTACGCATGAAGCCACCTAGTAGGGGGGCTTCCCTGATGCCACGGCCCCTGGGGTGAGGGTCGAGGATGCTGCTTCTCTTTGCTGCCATAGCCACCAGCCCTGGATTCCTGGAGGGTACCCAGAGCAGGGCACACTGCTCTCCAGCTCTGCCCACAGGCACTGAAGCTACTGCTTCTGCCCAGAACTCTTGGCCTCCCTCGGGAAAGCAGCTCCCTCTGTTTCCGCCCCTTTCCCCACCCTCCAGGAGATCTAATGCTTCATCTTTTCTCCTTAGTTTCTGTCTCTCCTATCTCCACCCATCTCTGCCGGAGACCCGATCTCAATTTAAAAAAAAAATTACCCACCAAGAAACAAAGCTCCACGCACAGCAATCTGTGCAGAGAGACATGCACAAAAGAAGAGTCTGCTGGCCACCCCCAGCTTGCTTCCTGGATTCACGGGTGAGCAGTTTTTATTCCACTCCTAATCAAAAAATATAGGGGGCCCTGCCCAGCACGGTGCATCTGACAGTCCACAGCACCCCAACTGCAGCCAGTTATGCTTCAGCGGGGCCACCTGCCACAGCCGTCAGCTCGCCCTCTTCCCCCCAGTTCAAACAAAAAGTGGTTTACTAAGAGGCATCAGTTAGCCTAAAATTTTGTCTGAAGAAAGGAAACCAAGTTCAAATACTTTTCAGCCCATCTTTTTTTTTTTTTTTTTTGAGACAGAGTCTCGCTCTGTCAGCCAGACTGGAGTGCAGTGGTGCGCCATCTCAGCTCACGGCAATCTCTGCCTCCCGGGTTCAGGCGATTCTTAAGCCTCAGCCTCCCGAGTAGCTGAGATTACAGGTGCGCATCCCCACGCCCAGGCCAGCCCGTCATTTAAATGTCTGTTTGCCCCTGAACTATGAGCCCCTGACATGGAGGGATGGGCAGGATCACCTCTGTGCCCTTGGCTCACCATCCCTCACATCCTTGGTGCTGAGAAAGGGTTTGCTGGAGGTGGGGGTGGGGAGACCAGTGCTTTGCAACGTGTTAAAATTTGGGAAATAAACTTGCCTCCCTAAATCCTGGGCTATCTTCTTATGGTCTGTGGGTGAGGGGGAAACAGTGACCCACCTGAACACAGCCAGCGCCGGGTAGCCCTTCCGTCCTTTCACGTGCTGTAGTGGGTTTCAAGTGTGTTACCCAAAACGGTATGCTCAAGTGTGAACCTCTGGTACCTACAAATGTGACCTTATTTGGAAATAGTCTTTTTTTTTAGACGGAGTCTTGCACTGTCGCCCCGCCTGGGGTGCAGTGGCACAATCTTGGCTCACTGCAACCTCCACTCCCGGATTCAAATGATTCTCCTGCCTCAGCCTTCCAAGTAGCTGGGATTACAGGGTGCCTGCCACCAGGCCTGGCTAATTGTTTGCATTTTTATTAGAGACAGGGTTTCACTATGTTGGCCAGGCAGGAGTCGAACGCCTGACCTCATGATCTACCCGTCCTGGCCCAAAGTGCTGGGATTACAGGCATGAGCCACCACACCCGACCCACTGGAAATAGTCTTTGCAGATGAATCAAGTCAGGATGAAGGCAGACTGAATTAGGGTGGGACCTAAATCTAATGACCAGTCTTAAAATAAACAAAGAGGGGGATGTGGAAGCAGAGGTGCAGAGGAGGCACAGGGGCACAGGGGCACAGGGAGGGTCCATGTTACAATGAAGGCAGAGATTGGAGTGTCTCGGTTTACAAACCACACACACCAAGGACTTCCAGGAGATCCAGAAGCTAGGGCAAGACTAGGAAGGATCTTTTCCCAGGGCCTTGAGAGGAAGCGCGGCCCTGCTGACACCCTGATTTCAGACCTCTGGCCTCCAGAAGTGCAAGTGAATAAATTTCTGTTGTGTTCAGCCACCAAAATCCTGGCAATGTGTGACGGCAGCCCTAGGGAACGAGTATCCACGCCCACAGGTGTGTGTTACGTGGCCGGATGGGACAACCTGAAGTGGTTTTCCCTCCTCCATGTCCTCCCCTTGCGTAGGGCGTTGTGGCTCTCGGTTGCACTCAGAACAAAGGTTATACCCCTTAAGCCATCCCCGTCTCTTCTTTACTAATAGATCATTGATTTGGGATTGAGCGCAGTGGTTCATGGATTATAGACATGAACCACTATAATCTATAATCCCAGCACTTTGAGAGGCCGAGGCTGGAGGATCACTTGAGGCCAGGAGTTCAAGACCAGCCTGGGCAACATAGTGAGACCCTGTCTCTACAAAAAATACAATGAAATAAAACAACTAGCTGGGCATGGTGGTGTGTGCCTGTAGTTCCAGCAACTCAGGAAGCTGAGGCAGGAGGATGCCTTGAGCCCAGGAGATCGAGGCTATGATTGGGCCTCTGCACTCAGCCTGAGTGACACAGTGGGACTCTGTCTCAAAAAAATAAATAAATAAAAGGAAAAAAATAAAACTGATTCTGTAGCAACCAGCAATGTCGCCATCTAATAAACTTCATTCCCTGGATGTCTTAAGGATTATCATGTGACACAAGCTGGCTCCTGACATGAGCTGAAGGTTCTAGTGGAGCCTTTTGAAAGAGGTCAAATTTGACGGCTTCTCCCTCTTATCTTTGCCCTTCTTCTTCCTGCCTGGAATGCAGACCTGATGGCTGGAGTTCCAGCAGCCATCTTGTGAGTTTAAGGGCAAGAGCCACACTCCAAGAATGGTGAAGTGGAGAACTAGATGGAGCCTCAGTCCTTGATGACATGCTAGAGGGATGCTCCTTAAGTCCCTGGATTTAGCTCTCTGCTACACAGAAACACAAATCCTTCCCCTCCCCATGTGTGGTGGTCTGACCCCAGCTCAGCATCTCCTCCTCTCCCCTGCTCTCTTGTTCTGGGAATTGCCGTGCAGTTGTCTTCCTCAGGACCTTGGTGCCTCCTGTGCCTCAAAATTTCTTCCCCTTCCCTGTTCAGGACCTGACCCTTGTTTACCCAC